GTAGTGTTAGAATAGTTAGAGTAAGCCTTTTCAGATGTACTGGAGCTTGGTTTCTCACAGATAGTCATTAATTCTATTCATGAAAAGATAAATCATTATCTTAAATGTGGTGACATTTTCTGGCCCACTACCTGTATTCAAAGGCTGCTCCAGAGCAGAACACTTCTGGGGGTAATGATCAGACCTTGACCAAATATAACAGAAAATTACCAGCAGATTTTTCACAAAAACAGGTACTAATGCCACACTGAAGAGTGCCTCAGTTGCCTGCCAAAAACAGATGTGTAAATGAGTTTTATTTGTTGGGACCAATTATTGTGTAGGTGGCATTCTATCATGAGTTTTTTCTTTGTAATTTTTTCCTGCTTAACTACTAATTACTTGAGAGATTTATTACTGAGCCTTTTAATGGGGAGCTAGAAACAACAGTATCAAAAACCTATGCAGATTAAAAATGCAAGAACAACAAAAAAACAATCTACAAACATTTAGGAGTATTGTTTCTGATGTGCAGTAATCTTTATTTTTCAATTAAAGATTATAATCAATTTTTTTTTATTCTGAGAATAACAAAATATGCTTTCATTTCTGAAAATAATCTTGTGTCTATTCTCCTACATTGTTTCACTCATTATTTTTGTTGTAAATTTTCTTGAAATTGATTTTTTAGATAGAAAATGTAAGTAGAATATTCTTGGTGAATGCATGTTGTTTTTCCTTTTTTGCATCAATTTTTCTATGTTGTGTAGAAAAAATGCTTGATATAATCTGTGTTTTATTTTGGAGGATGAAAAATAAGAGATTTCTATATTTCTTCTACGCATAGACTACATACGCAGACTTCTACGCATAGCTACAGAAAGGTAGTAAAACATAAGGGAATGGTATTGGTGTGTAGCTACTCAAACATCGGGAGTATATCTTTTTTTTTTTTTAATCCTTAGCCTTCTCATTCCCCTTTTTCTTGTTATATATGTTTATATCTTGTTTTTAAGGCAGTTACAAATTTTCTCTGTCTTAAAACCTACTCTCTGAAAATGAAGGACCTGCAAATGAAGCACCACATTAGAAGTCAGACACCCATGAATATTATGTGACTGGGAATTGACCATTCTTACTAGGCAGAAATATAATAAAACCAGGTCTTGGACAGAGGATTTTCGTCTCTTACTAATCCAACAATATAAAAAGAAAACAAACAAAAACAAACAGTCCAAAGCCAGAAACTGTAATGGAAGAATGACTTATTGCAATATAATACCTTACAATGGGCTTTTTATAATGCCATCTCTAATAAGTTGTCAAAGGTCATAAATTCCTACAGAAATACTTATTTTTGAACTGTGCACAGTATCATGCACATTAATTTCCACTGACACTTGCCTCTTCTTCTGTCTCTCCCCACAGTCTTCTCTGCACCCGTGCTAAGGGAACAAAAGCTTATTAGTCACAACAGGAAAAGATCTTAACTACATGTTGCTTTGACTGTAAATTGAGCCATACTAGCTACTTTGAAATTAAAACTAATATCCATTATTATGAAAAAAATGGTCTGAGAGAGCAGACAAGTGAGATTTTCCTCAACGAATCAGCCATTCTTGATGCTGCTATATAGAGAATTTGGTAGTTACTCACACTGAACTGGATTGTGACAGGTCTCTTATGCATGTGAAAAGAACCCTCTTCCTACCTGCCTTCAACACAGACTGAGCCTCAGATGAAGACACTGACAGCTTCATCATTGTTCAGGGAAAGGGGTTATGTTTACGCTTTTTGAATGCACAAGGCACCAAAGAGGAGTGAGTTACAACCAACGCTGTAACTCTAGGGTTCCTCTTGCTGGCTCAAAAACTGATGCTTTGTGACAGGAAAGTGCAGATTTGTTATAAATTTATGCTGCTAATTCAGATTTAACTGAACATTTTTGATAGGTGAACGTGACAGCAACCAGGCATTGTGCCATGTTGTCAGCCTTACCAGAATTGGCATGAAAGCATATGGCCAGCATAGAGTTCATGTTGTATGCTGTGGTGGAGTTAGCAGAGGTCAGATTTTGTGTCCATGCTGATATTGGAGCAAATGTATACTATAGGGAAGTTCAATTATGGAATTGTAGACTTGGTGGCAGTGTTGAAAGTATCTAGACTAAAATTGGCAAAATAACCTCAGAAAGATACTGCTTCAGCAACAATTAATATAGTATAACTGAACCCCATCTTTTTATGACATGGACTTAAAAAAAAAAAAAATGTGTTTATTGTAATGAAAAATAAATTCTGGAATTTAGTGGGATTGTATATTTGCTATTTCTGATGGCAAACCCACAATGAAAAAGTAGCTCCAAGTTATATGCATGAATATCACTTCAGTCACTATTTCTATTTCGCTAACAGACTCTTAAGCCACATTTTGATACCTGTTCTTCTAGTAATTCTTAAATTTACGAATGGTTCCATATGTGGCATTTTCTCAGGCTTATTTCTTTATTAACTAAATTCAAGGTGCAGAAGAGTCAGGTTTGCAGATCTCTATTCTTACCTGTGTTGTTAGCATGTTCTGAAAATGCTGTTTTAAACGTTCATGGGAAAATTGTGCTGGCGATTTGTGCCATTCTTTAGTGCATAACCTTGCATTTTATCAGTACTCATAGTTTTAGAAGGAAGCTTTTGCAGAATGTAATTCTTTTCTAAAGCTTTATCAACTCTCCTAAGTACAGTACCATAAAATTAAAGAAGTGTTTCATTTAAACCTTAAACCTTTCTAAAAGGTTTTAATTAGCAATTTAATGATAAGTGTGAATGAGAATATGGCTGTGTTTGCTCATTAAATTAGATTATATTAAATAACACATTTTGGTTTTGTAGGGTATGTTCTTGTTATGACAAGCATGAATATGTTTCTAAGAGGGTCGATTAGCCTTTTGGCCTCTCTACTTAATAATTTTCTCATTCTTTTATGGAAGTTCCTGTCTGTCTCCCATCAGGATTATTGGAATCTGGGACCTTGTCTATAATTGTATACCAACAGGGATGGCATGATGTCTCTCCACTGCATTAACTTTATCGTTTCCTGTAAAACATTAACACAGCAAAGAATCTGAGCTTGTAAATGAGAGCCATGTCCTCGTCTTGATCTGAGAAATGAAATTTGTAATTCAAATGAGAGAAGTTAATGAACTTAGAGTACAGGCTGGAAAAAGTGTTATAAGTGCCAATTTGATCTGCCCATGGATGCTTCCAAACATTCCCATTAAGGTATTGATTATGTCCATTTAACAAAGTGAAGGGGACTGTGAATTCCCTAATGATTTTTGCATTACACCAGTAGTGCCTACATCCCCAAACAAATGAAACCTGTCATGGTAATCCTTAATTTTTCCTTATAAACTAAACTTAAGAATTTTATGAACTTTATATTTTATTTATTTCCAAGTCCAAGTAATGGCAGAGGGTCTTAACTCTACAAATAACTCCCATCTCAAAAATCATTGTAGTTTTGTAATATATCAATATGTATGATGATGTAATCGCGGTGATAATTTGGAAGTTCAAAATCTACTACTTGTGTTTAGAGAAATTGCAATTTCTGTACTGGTTACTAACAGTTGTCAATCTAGCTGTCAGTAGTTGATGTTGCACAAACTGTTCAGGCGCACTTACATGCACAAAGCTTTATTAGTGGGGCCCATAGCTGATGGCATGCATCAGCTTCAAAGTTACATTAGCTGGAAAACAGAAACAAGTAGAAAATAGGACTGAAAGGGACAAAAGACCTGTTGTTAGTAGTCAGCTGGAAAGAAAAATGAAGAGTATTCCTGGAAGTGTTCTCTTCCATGCAGTCCAAACACTTCTGCTATAGAAGATAGTATTATCAGGGCCTGGCCAAACTCCTGAGTACATGTTCTTGTTTACAGTACAGTACGCACTTGTGAAACCATGTGTGATCAGGTACAAGTCTTGCAAATCAGTTGGTGGCCAAGCTTTGTGTGTATGAATATTATAGGAACCTGCCCACTGGATTTGTATTTGATTGACTTCTGTTGTGTTATCTGTAAAGTGCTGAAGTTCTAAGCTATAATACAGAAAGGGAAGGAAAGAGATCTTATCCTGGGCTTATAGGTTGGAAGCTGTGAGGCAGAGAGTGATTCAGGGATTAGCAAACTGTTTGCTGCAAGAAACTACTACAGCAGTAGTTTGTACCCATCAGCATAAGGCTGCAAGCAGAAGAGCACTTGAAACAGAGAGGCATTGCCACGGTGTCACTGGGGTGTTTGCTGATTAAGAGCCTCAAGGTTACAAGTGAGGGTCAGGATACAAAATTTGAAATAGAAAGCCTCTAACATTAAAAATGTTGAGTCAATGAGTAGCCATGCCTCCTGTGATCTGTGTAGGAGATTTGGTGCTGTAAAGGTTGATTTCTAAATAATCTACAGAAGATGTTTGAGTGATAACAACAGCAGCTGCTGACTTAGCACCTCATGTCAAGTAACAGAGTGAAGCACTAATGTGCAACTGCAATTACAGATTTGCAGCACTTCTGATGTTTTTTCTTTCAAGTTGTGAAGTGAGCCTGCTGGCCCATGTTTTGCTTTTCCTGCAGAGACAAATTCTATACTCATGTAAATAACTAGTTTGCTTAACTTGAAAGATTGTGTGTACCACCTTGCAGTGATTTTATTGCATTACCAATCTAACTGTCTAATGTAACTTAAGTTTGTAAGTTACTAACTGATGTATAAACTGTGGACCTCACATTTAACAAACTGTTCTGATTGCCAGACAATATTTTCAGTATATAACTACATAGAAGATCATTTTAAATAAGGTCAGTTTTTATACTACAAGTGTAAATTTCCTCTAAAACATGTATATATGTGTAACTGCAACCCTGCAACTGATAAACCAATGCTTTTCAATTATTGTTATTTTTTAATCATTTTTGTAGATTTTAGTTTACTGCTAAAGAAAGTAAAAATTAATCAAGAAAACAAATCTGCTAGATTTCCTGGAAATTTAAGTATGCCAAATTAGCAAGGAAAAGATATTTTACATGAAAGCAGAGGACTTTACTTACCCCCAAAAGCTCCACTGTACATTTAAGTTTGAAAGACTTGAAAGGTAGCCTTTGCTAAATGCAGACCTTGAGCAGTGGCATGCTTGAACATAGAACAAGTCAGTGTGCTATTGATTGGAGTACGGTGGGATAAATGTGTGGCTTCTGCCCTTAATGGAAGCTGATTGTTCAGGGATGTGCTGGCAAGGCTGGTCGATTATTTAGCTGTTGTTTACTGGGGAGGACGATATCAATTTTCCAGAGGGATGATTGGTGGGATGTCAAGGCTGTCACCCTTTTCTTCTCATCACTGACAGACGGCTGAGTGACAATTACAGTCATGGGACATTGTCTGCATTGGCATATACACCAGAGGATAACTGGCAAACAAAAAAAGGCAGCAGCACTTTAAAAAAGATATAATCAGCAGTTGTCAGGACTAGTTATATATATGATGTCTGAATAACAAGACCAGAGTGTCCCGTCTCAGACAGTGACATAAACTGTACTGGGTATTCCTCAACCCACATAGAAATTAACCCTGGGGTAGTTATTAACTGTTGCTAGAAGTCAGTAGTAATTTAATTGGGAATTAAGCTTCAAGAAACTGTATTTTCAGGCAACTCTCTGAAAATAAAAGACAGTTTTTCTGCATAACTTCAAAATGGTGTAGATTACCACCAAATTCGTAAATTAAAAAGCCTCTCAAAGTTCATACTCAATTCCTTTAGGAATCCTCTGCTGGAAATCTTCCTAAATACTATCCCAACAGATAGTCACGTAGCAAACTTCGAGGGTAATTTGTGTTTGCATTAACGTATTTAACCTGCCAGTCCAGATTACACAGACTAAAGTAAACTTTAGATCCTTAAAGCATTATTTTATGCTTCACAGATAAAATACACTAGGTCTATGTAAATGTTTCTCATGAATTAATATCTTATAATACATGTAGGTCATTATGCAAAAGACTTCCTCCTGCTCCTATGAAATCACATGTAAAGCTTTTTATATGCATGTTGAGGACTTAGGAACATAGTTCTGCATTATACTAATTGCTGTTGCTTTCCGTGGCCTCTCAAAGTTGAGCTCAGAGAAAGACTTCAGAAAAAAAGAGAGCAGAGGAATATCTTATATTTAGACCAAAGTGTTATACTTACAGTGAAAAACACATCTGACTTATCTCCAATCAACTGCATTCTCTTTACTGATTTTTTTTTCTTGCCATTCCTCCCAGAAGTTCTCTGTTGAGGGAGCATTTCAAAGGGTATTTCAGATGTACATTCCTGAAACCTCAGTTACTGTTTTGACAGTACACTTAAATTTATCTCAGAATTTTACTTCCTCCTTCTCTTCATAAACATGCTGTAGTAGAAATGCTCAGACACAGCTTGAACCAGAGATTGAGCACCTGGTCGGAAGGCAGGGCCAACCCATGGGAGCTCATGTGCAAGCAGTGCAGCTGTGTTACCTGAAGGGGTGGAGCCAGGATCCACCTCTTCCCAGACCCCATTTAAGGCTGGCAGTGGAGGTGAGGGTATCTCATCTGGAGATCCCTGTATACCTGAGATCTCCCTGAGACAAGCAGCTTCTTTCCTTTATTTCTGTGCCTAATGCTGTTGCGTTTGAGCAGATCCTTACTCACAGCAGCATAGGACCTTGCTGCTGTGTTGTCACTGCTGCACTTTCCATTGCATTAGGTGTGCCTTTCTCGGGTCATTTCTTTTTGGCAGTATGTACATTTGTAAAGAACTATTTTCAAGGACGTGGCGCATGAAAAATAAAATTTCTGAGGTCATTAAGAATTACAGCTACTGCCATCAAACTAGACTGATGCACTAGTTTCACAGAAACAAGATCAAATATCCTACTCTTTTTATGTTTTATTGCTCTTCTTTTTTTATGTTTCAGTAAAAAAAACTAATAAAAGATTATGCATGCTGCACTTGTAAAAATCTGTACCAGCAGAGTTGATCAAGTGTCACTGTTGTCACTGTTGTCACTGCCAAAATGCACCACCCACCGCCTCACTGTGCTCTCGTTTACTGTTTGGTCTTCATAAACATTCAGCAAATGTCAGAAAATGTCAGGTACCTTTTTTGCAATGGAATACAGTAAGAAGGTTCAACCTCTACTGCCATACCACCAACATCTGCCTCTCACGTCACAGACCAACATAATAAAATAGTAAGATTTTAAAGTTTCTTCCTGCTGTATTGACAACGTTGTCTGACAAATAACTAATTCTGAGTAACTTATTTCATGCACAGTAAAGGAGATGTAATTTGCATTTTCCCAATACAATGAGTCTTTATCATGTTTATATTACTTGTTACCTCAATTTTTCTTGATTACTCATTATGCTTAAGCATTATTTAATTTATGCTACTGTGAGTGCAAGTTAATTTGTATTTTTTTTTTTTTTTTTTTTAGATCTCTAATATCCCTCTGCTCACCCCCAAGATGAGGTTACATTAGTGTATTTAGAAGAATCTTCACAAATAGGATTTATGATTAGAAATCTATGTGATTCCAGGTACAAGAAAAAAATTGTAACAAATTGCACTTTAGGATAAATTGCCTAATGCAGTAGAGAGATAATAGTATGATATATAAGGGTGGCTTTCTCCAAACTGAGTGACATTAGAGAATTACATCAGACTCTTGTCTTCTTCCATTCTTTCCAATTTTGTGTTTACCTGTTTACCCTGAGTACTTTCTATTTTTTTCTTCTCTCAATGCTGTAGCACTTTTCAGGTCAGTGACTGATGTGAAAGATGGATACAGTGATACCAGCTTTTTCATACCTTTTATTTGTAAGCAGTGGTTGTCCAGCCTGCAAAAAAAAAAAAAAAAAAGTGGCAATGCTTGTGATTAACATTTAAGTTTATTTTTTATGGATCTCATGAAAAACCAGATACACGTGATTATGAATTTCCCTTTCTAAGCCATCAGCTAATTGATTTTGTACTGAGCTCATTAAAAATAGATACTTCACCTTTCAGAGGACTGTCTGGGAAACCTAAGGCAGGGCATGGCTCCTCAGGGACAGCATCGACTGACCATTCCATCAGGCAGGGCAAGAGTGGCCATGGTGCTTGTCAGAGCTGTAGTATATTTACTTCATCTCCCTGCAGATAAACATTTGCAAGGCAAATAATAAATTAGCCATTAATCAGAAGAGTGCCTGTGTTTGATGAACCCTGAATAGAGTGGAGATGTCAGGTAAAGAGACAGAGTAAACTGACGTTGTAGATTGAGCCATATGGAAATGACTGCTAGCAGTTTTGAAAGCTTTTGTTCTGTGTTTTCAAAAGACTCTCAAGGTTAAAGTAAAAGAAGACTGCAGATTTGAGGCAAGCAGAGGTTGTTGGTTTTCAAAATGATAGTATCATGCAGTTTTTGTCCTCTGTTAAATCTACATCATTCTTCCAATGCATACCTCTGTGTGATACTGAAAAGAATAACAGTTATACAGAAATGGTACAGACTGCCCTATTATTACCAAATTATTCAAGGCATGCGTTTGTTTAGACTTAATGATCTCAGTACATCTTTGGGTGAAAGTTCAGATTTCTGATTGACAGTATTTTTTAAATATTAATTTGTATTACGTTAAGTAGACTTTTTTTTAGTAGCATTTGCAGTTTAAATTAAATCACTTTTCTCTGAACATACAGGGAAAACAGCAAGCACATTCTACTCTGTTATTATCCAAGCAGTTTTACTGAGGATTGAGAGTGTTTTAATGGCTATTCTTGTAAACAGAGCTGAAAATAATGACAGAATTTGGTAATTCCTGTTTTTGGGTACTTTGCTTGAGCATTGTTCTAGAATTTTTAAATAGTTCTAGTCCATCCTTCAGATGGCCAAACAACTAAAACTTTCACAGCTAGTGTTTATTTTTTTTAATGATTAGCCCAAATGATTTTTAATTCATGTAGCCCAAGTAGAGCTTATGTAAATAATTTGAAAATAAAATGTAGGAGTGCTATAAGATTTCCAAAATCAAAATGAGACTTGTAATGTTTTTCGTCTTAACTGACATGAAAAATGGCAGTCCTTACAAATAGTGCATCAATTGTTAGTACTGCAGTATGAACTCTGCTCTGGATTTCCTCTTTGCCTTCAAGTGTCTCAGAACACAGTATTAAAAACAACCTGCACCTTTTAGTCTTGAACGTATATATTTTTTAAATATTATGAATAGAATTGCAAGTTTTTAAAGCAATCAGAATATTTAAGGCCTTTCATTTTCATCTCTGCTCATTCAACACAGTACAGCTCTTAAAAATGAAGCAGTTAGGTCTCAGAGGAGGATCTTTGATTCCTAAGTTCACTTATTCTTCATCTCTGCAAGCTAAGCTTGCCTTACCTCTTTAAATCATTTCAATCATTAATTTTGAATTAGTACCTGTTCAGTTCATCAGCACAACATCAAGTAAACATTTTAATAGAAAAAGATAAGCTATTGCGTATGGCTAATTGCTTTCTCTAAAAAGTAACAGATTCAAAAGTTTAAAAAAAAAAAAAAAAAAAAAAAAGAAAAAATAATTTTTTTAAGTAGTGTTAGTCCTTAATAGTGTAAACAACTCAAGATCTGCCTGGAAGGCTGATACTGTAACTTGTACTCTGTAATAGGAAACATTTGACTACTGCTGGAAACTTCGGTGCAGGTGAATGACTCAGCACAAAAAAAGGTTTTCTTCCAATAATTCTCTTTAAGAATTGAAAGTGGAAACTTGATGAGAAAGAGATATGCAGGTTGGCCAAATTCTTTGCTGGCAAATCGTATCATATTTAGCTATCAGAAAAGTGAGAACAAAAATGCTATGAAAGTGTTTTTCCATCAGATAGGGTAACTCCTGAAGTACATTTTTTTTTAATTTATTTTTGGAGATAGCTGTTGTTTAATAACTTACTTGCCATCAGCTCACTCGTCATTTCTGTAGGTCACCAAAGAACTTTCTTTTATTCTGCATGGGTATTAGAAAGAATGCCTACAGAGAGAAACTGAAAGAAAATTGTTTTCAAATGTAGGTGTTTTCTCTTGTTATCAGAGCAAGTCTCAGTAGCCATTTATAATAACATATTGCTCTTTTTTTTTTTTTTTTTTTTTTTTTAGTCAGCTGTGTGGTACCAAAATTAATAGTGATCCTTCATATTTCAATTTTCTATGAATTACTTATGCTCTTAACTGAGCTTTAGAATGTGATACTAGCTCTCAATATGTTTTCAAGAAGTGCAGAATGCTAGTCAGTGTAAGAAATGTATACATGTAATAACTGAATCATGGAACTGGAATGAAACAGCTTCTTCATTATTCATAGCTCTGTTTTGATACAAACAATATTTTTTACACTGCGTGCTCTAATATATCTGTACTTTGGGCATAAATAGCTGATGCCCCAGAATGTGCACAAAAAGCTCCTCATCCAATAAAGGTCAGAAAACTGACCTTGAAAAAACAATTCTGTGCTCAAGGGGCCAGAAGTCTCATGACTAGACTATTTCAGGCTCTCAGCGTTCTGTCTTTGGGAAGGATTTGAGTTTGCCACATACAGACAGGAGATTGAACACTCTCTCATGTATCACTGCATGATATTGATACTGAAACAAGTGTTTCTCAAAGCGTTCCTGAGGCTGGATGTCTCTGGTGGTCAGAGGGCTCAGGACCTAAAGCCTTGGCTTTGCATTACCCCTTAGCTGGCCTTAGGCTGCTGCAGCATGTGCTTCCTTTCCTGCAGCTAATTGTTTTGTTCCCTTCTGTAAAAGGTGAACAGGAGTCTGGACAGCATGAATCAAATACCTAGAGGGCAGATTTTTGAGGCACAGCCTTTTTAATGCACAAGATCTTCACTGCCTCTATCCTCTTCAAGAATCTACTTGAAAACAGCAGGTTAATAACATGTTTCACTTAAAATTTTAAATAGTTTTGATTCCCATTTTCTCCCTCTGAAAGAGTATGGCTTTGACAGCAATAGAGGGATGTTATGTTGCAGCAACTCTTGTTCTCAGTAACACCTCCAGTTTGTAGGGAAATGTGAGTGTCTGAAAAATAACAGAACAATTTTGATATATTTTGAATTTTTAGCTATTTAAATGTAAATGGCAATTCAGTTGTTTTGTATGGATGTTGCCTTTCTTTCAAACTCCTAAAACTATTTGGTCCTTATAAACTTTAAGCTTTCATGGCAGACTGTTAACTATCTATTATGCAATAAGTTAAAGAAAGGAGCTTTGTAAGTAGTATGTCTTGTAATTATTTTACTCAGTCTTTTTGTGAACAAAAATAAACTTTCTTTAAAAAAAAAAGTATTGATGCAATTCTCCTCTTTTTGTCCAGTTTATTTTCAGTGCTTTGTATTTACAGAATCACAGAATCACAAGGTTGGAAACGACCTGCAAGATCTAGTCCAACCACCCTCCCATTCCTATTAGTACCACAAGCTACTAAACCATCTCTCGTAGCTCCTCATCCAGGCACCTCTTGAACACTGCCAGGGACGGCGACTCCACCACCTCCCTGGGCAGCCATTCCAGTGCCTGACCACTCTCTGAGAGAAAAAGTTTCTCATAATGTCCAACCTAAACCTCCTCTGGTATAACTACTGGCTGTTTCCTTGGGTCCTACTATTACTGACCCTCAGGAGTCTGATGAAAGAAGAACTTGTGTCCTGTAGTTTAAAGTGTGTTTGTATTGGGGGATGAAATCCCTCCTACAGCTTT